CCAACTTCATCTCTATTGACGATCCTTATATTCGTCATATTCACTAAAGACTTTGCAACTAAGATAGTTGGCTCAAAAGTCGGTGCCTGCTTAACCGGCACAGAATACTCCCATGGAAATCCTTTGAAGTATCTATCAATCTTGGTCAATTCGTCAGGGACCACTCGTAGTGTAAACTTCATCTTATACGTGAAAGCATTGGTGTACTCTCCAACCATCATGCTTCCCTTTTTCAATGTTAGGAGTTGATTCTCTAACTCCAACATATCTTTAGCTGAACAAAACTTCATCTTAAAGTGGGTCAAAAACTCTTCCTACGTCAGTTGCAACAGTTAGTTAGGGCTTACCGTCTTCCCAATGTGTTCCACCATCGAATCACTACACCCTTAAATTGCCTCATAGCGTAGGTGGTTTGAGTCTTTCCCGTGCAACCACATGTTACAAAAGTTATCTCTATTTCCGAGATCCATTCCATCACTACCACTAGATATTCCTTCCCATTGAATAATGACGGCTTGTAAGTCTTGAAATCCGTATACTTACAATAACCCATAGGTTCATCATTCCTTCCGACCTCTGGTTCTTCTAGTCCTTGATAACTCTCAAAGTCATTATTTCCTTTCTGGACCATCATTGGACGAGAGGGAACTGGTTCATTAGTAACCTGGTCAATGACTATTGGTTCGTTGACCACCAGTGCTCAACCCCTTGCATTAGCCAAACCCTGAGCTAAGAGCTCCCAAATCGCATGTCACTACTGATAGAGCATGTCTTGCATCATTGCTCAAGCTTCATTCATCGGGAATTGAACAACACCTGTTCCGGCTGCTGGACCTCCTTCGTTGTTGACAATTCAGCCTCTTCTTATGATCGTCATGTCGTTCTATATTCGTAGAGGCAAGTAGTTTAATACGATATATACTTATATGTATACACATTTAGCACATATATAGAAGTTAAGGCATCTTCCTTTATTATGCTAGTGGTAGTGTCTAAAGCAACTAAGGCATCTATCCTAAACTATTCTATCGCACAACTCACCGATTATACTTAGATTATAAGTTTATGTCTAAAACTTTCCTAAATTCTAATTTCGCTTAAACTAATGCTCTGATACCAACTGTGAGATCTCCCATTTTTCAGAACCAATAAAAACATTTTCTTTACTCTTTTTAAATTGAGATGCGGAAATTCCCAATTAAATAAAACATTTTAAAGATAAAAATAGTTATTTTATTAAAACCATTGAGCATATCATTCGTTCATATTTGAACATAAATTATAGAGAAAAATATAAAAGGTTTTGAAACTACATATTACAAGTATATCTCCTTATTCCAGTCAGCAACCTAACTAGACTATCGTAGCCTTGGTTCCACTACCCGTGATGTAAAAAAAAAGGAGTGGGTCAGGTTTGGGAAAACCTGGTGAGATACGTAGGTTTTTCAATCCCATAACAATTAAATGATAATAAATAATATTATTCATGCGAAACAAGGTTATCGGGTAATATAGGTGTACATACAATCTAACCTAAGACCAACTACCTAACCCAACCGATCCTCACAAATCCTAGTTCTACAAACATATAGAAGAATCGCCTTACCTAATTAATTGCATGAGCATCTGTTTGACAACACAGCTAGGCGAGTCCTTGGCTACTGTAAGTCACACATAAGGCAACCAATTTTCAGAGATTTGATAAACATGGTATCCCATTTTATCTACGTCTATGGGTTATAAGTCCATGCTAGCAACGTAATTCACTAGACCGCCTACAATAGTCAAGTGTTGTCATCAACTCTGGTCGATGACCCAGACATACCTACCGGTCGTCTGATCTGGACCCATCACTTATGGTCATCCAAGAATGAGGAGGAATACAACATTCTATTCTGATCTCACACTCTACCCTAGAATGAGACCTATCTAATGTCCAACTTATTAGGAACTAAACATATTCTACAAGTCTTATTATAACTAATCCATATTTATACTAAAGACAATTAAAGTCCAATACAGTTCCTAATAGGCAATATTATCATGCATTATATCATTAACACATAATACAGATAATATAACTAACACGCAATATAAATACTTTTATTAAAGTTATGTATGTTATAGTAGCTATGCACCCACCTAACAATTATATGTGACTTGAATTTAGGGTAACGCTTCACCTTAATACTTTTCCAAAAGACCTAGATGTACATAATGCTAAGTCTTAGTCTAGTTTCATGATTCATGAACATGAACTACTATCCTAAGGGTTTATATTCCTCAAAGATCCCAATTTCTACATCAAGATCTATCAAATAAGGAAAAACCAATTGGGTTCATATCGGAAGTAGGTTCCGTTTGGTATACAGTGTATACTGTTTGGAAATCCCACTTTAAACATTTTACCAAATCCAGCCTAGACATCAATCACGTAAGTAGATCAAGCAGTATAATGACTTGGAATCATTGATAAGTCTTAGCTATAGGTTCATAATAACGAATTGTAATTTTAAAGATAAGTTGCACTGAAGCGAAGGAAGAGTAGTGAGACTTAAAAAGTTTTCCAAACTAAAAGTCTAGAAATTGCATAACATGGACTGCACATTGATTGCTATTTATAGGGTGAAAAATAATCATGCACGCCGCACCTATAGAGGTGTGCGTCGTGCATTAAAAACATGCCGTTCTGCTCGTTTGTTGACACGTGTTACTCGTTGGCTGGAGTCGTGTGGCCTTCTGGAAGCATGCGTGTCGCGCTCGCTCGTGTACGTCTTTTAATATTTTCAAATTTGCATTTCTTCTTCATACACACTCATTTTTTGACGTTCTTTATACCCACGTGTAGCTATTAACGAAATCTACAATTTTCATTTAGATTCTGTTGGCTAGTTTTGACTTTATTTTTTTCACACGGGCTTAGACTGTTAAATCTCGTATAAAATACATTTATCTCACATCTTGCTATACCCGTAGCAAGGCATCCTTAGTGAGCGCTAGGGGATAGTGTTCTAAGTGCTTAGCGACCGTTTGGCGAGCGACTCCCTGCAGTCTTATTTGTAGATGCCTAAATTATTCCACCAATTATACGAAAAGCATGTCTAGATGTTTCTAGTATAAATTCTTCAATTACACAACTATTTATAAAAATTGGATTTGTATTATATTCAACACAATCATCTTGTAACAATTTATGCGATTATGCAGACTCGTTCTCATTTGGCATTGTTGAGGAGGATGGAAAAAGTAATTGTGTAAAAGGATTTTTAGTTGATATACTTAGAAATAGAGATGCAATTAGGGCTAGACCTGGGCCAGGCCCGAATAAACTAAAAATTGAATAAGATTAATTTGAGGAACTGAAAACCGGACCGATTAAACCAATACAAGTCTGTATCGGTTCAGGTGTTAAACGGTCTGGCTCATTTATTACGCGAATAAACCAAATAATATTCCAATATGATTAGAGATCAAATAGAACTTAAACGAACCAGAAACAACAGAATAAAACCGAAAAGAACCGGAGAAAGTAAATGTTAGTTTAAAAAAACATATTTAATACCTTATGTTTAGGAGCATGTATATCTCATTGAATATATGTAAACTGTGCAAACAGTAGTTGAAATTGTAAACTACAAGATGTTTTAAAAATCGGGAAAATAGGAAAAATAACGAAGACACTATGATAGTTCAAAGTTGCCCTAAAATTTTGCAAACATTCAGAAATAGAAAACTCAACTTCACTACCCCATGTTTAGGGGCATGTATCTCATTGAATATATAAGAAAAAATAGCATATGAACTACGTAAACAGAATGTTAAATTATGAACTACATGTTGGAAAAAGAATGAGGCAAATCGGGCAAATAACAAAGACGCTATGACAGTTCAAATTTGCCCTAAAATTTTTCAAACATGCTAAAATTTAAAAAACTATATAATAATAATAATAATAATAATAATAATAACAACAACAACAACAACAACAACAACAACAATAATAACAACTAGAAAAGATTCCCCGGCGTTGTCGGGGTCGGAAGGTATTGCTTTGTAAAGTAAAGTAGCATGTTGGTTGTTTTTTGTCCGTTAATGTGAGGGTAATTTAGTCTTTTCAGGTAGTAGGGACTGAATTTGTCACCATGGGTAAACCATATGGACCATTTATGTAATTTTGGCGGTGGTGGTGGTGGTGGTGGTGATGGCAGATGGTGGGTGGGTTTATGGTATTTGGTGGGTATTTTCTAATAAATAAACATTAATTTAAAACCAAAAAGAGAATGTTAAATCTGGTAAACCACAGGGACCAATCGTGTAATTTTGTCTAACAATAATAATAATAATGATGAGGGACCATTTCTGCCAAAAGACTAAATACTAATAATATGTAATAAAAGGCGAGGGTTATGAAAAAATCAAACCAAAATGAAAGGGTTGTTTGTGAATAAAAACATAAAGATGAAGGGTCAATATTGTCAGTTGGATGACCAAAATTGACAAAAACTGTGTCACTTTACTTTACTGTTAAAACTTTTCATAACTTTAATAATAACTAGAAAAGAGGGCTCTGCCGCTTTTGGAGTAATGTGATATAAGTTAATCTTTTTTTTAGATTGTAATGTGTGTTGAGTGTGCGTGGAAGTTTGTTTCATCTAGATAAGGAAGGTGAATATTTTATTTATATATATGCATTTCATACAATAGTTAGGGGTATTCAAAAGGTAGAGCGGAGTACATTAAAACAAAAGATACAAAAGAACGACCACTAAGAGTTGTTTACTTTGTTGGTAAATGAGAGGTAGTTATAAAGCTTTATATTTTACACATCCACAGTGCATATCTAAAACTGCGTAGTCATGCTTGTAATGTTATTTGTGCAGGTGGAGATATCTATATAAGCAAAAGGCGATTCAGAAATGTGGTGCTGAGTGATGGGGCCGTTGAAACGTTTTCCTTATTGTAGATAGCGTGGACGTTTTGGTGGGGCCGGTGGTTCTTCGTTATCTGTAGTTTAACACAAATTTGTTAGATGTTTTTTTGATAATGCTGAATTGTGTGTTATGTGCGTTACCTTCATGTTCATAAGTGAGAGATCTTCTAATTAATGGCCGATGTGGTCCAGAAGATGATGAAGAATGGATGTCGGTTGTTTTGGTATTCGGTGGAGTTACCGGAGCCGGTGTAAGTGGGGTTGGATTCTGTTTAACTGTATTTTCTTCAACATCAGTGATGATGAAACGAAGGTTCTCATTGGTGGATGTTTTCATCATCTGCAATGCCATCTTCGTAACTAAGCCTTTAATCTCGTTGACTGCGGATGGTAATTTCTTTCTGTTATCCGGATCTTTTTCATCTATCAGCTTTTCTGATGTTGTACCCGTTAGTTTTTGAAGGACATTGTCAGTGAAAGTTACGTCCATGGAGTTAGTTGGATCAGTAATAGTTCCTGAAAGTTTGAACCTGTGCGTGACATTATTTAATGTAATAAGATTGTACTTTCTGATTCAGCTTTAATATATATATATATATATATATATATATATATATATATATATATATATATATATATATATATATATATATACACACACACTAAGGGAATGGTGTTGGAGACTTTGTGAGAGTATATGTACGTACATGTAAGTTGTTGAGTCGGGTATTCCATCTGAAGGGCAGAACCAAGTATTCCCCTGTTTGAAAGTTGGTTTTTTACAAGTGGGACAGATGACCTGGTACCAGGTGTCAGTGAATTTGAAATCAATAACTGAGGCCTTTATAGTGAATGTCCTTTCCTGGGAACATGTGTTTGTTTAGGAAGTATAATTAGATTGTATAATTGTGGTAATTGAGATTTATTTTGGAGACTCGAAATGTGCGTAAATGATAACAGAGAAGGAGTATACCAAAAGATCAGAGCGTGTTTTTTCACTTATATCAATTAGTGATATTGGTGGGCCTGCCATGGTTGTTGAGAGACCAGGATTTGTTCGGTAACTGTAAATCATGTAAATTGTTTAGTAAAAATGTATGTGATAAGTTTATGAGTAGTATACACCGTGCATACCTGTTAAGTAAGACATTTGACTCTGGAATGGTGGGGTTAATGCAAATATGACTTGCACTTGTTGTTCCTAGCATAAGTGTACCTGTTAATTAAAATTTTCATTAGTATTGTATCTAAATTGTATGGTTGCTTTTTATGTGGAAGTATATGTGTTTAAAAGGTGTTTTATCCTTTATGTACCATCAACTGGTGTGATCTTAACATTGGTGACAGCAATGACTGTAGGGTCAGGTGCGTTCTCAATAGCCACTCGATTAAATTTTTCAAGAACATCGGTGCATTCCTTCCAAAGGCTAACGGCAATTTCTTGACCTCTGGTTTTAATGTGGATTATAGATGTTAGTAACAGAAAATGTGTATTTGAAAAAGAAAAGTTACTTACGATTCATTTTTGAGAATTAGAAGGAGGAAGGGTTGTCCGTTCTTCTTGAAGCAACTTCTAAACTTCACGAATATTCCCAAAAAGTCTGAATGAATAAGAGGGAGTAATGTGCTTTAGGATGTTGGATTTTATACGCTTATAAAAGGTTAAATGTGTTGATAGTATGTAACATGCATTAACATAGAGCTATACCTGGGCTCTGGTCAACAAATTCTGGGATCTGTCCTTTCGATATAAACCTGAACCAATTTCGAGGAATTGTATTAGTATCTGGAAGTAATGTTAGGGAAGAAGCCATGCCGATAGCAATGTATATTGGATTGTCTATCCACTTTTGGTAGGAATCAGGCTCTCCACATCCATAGTTTGAAATAGTATAACATTTGGAAACTTTTAGGACAGATTGTACATAGCCTTGATCTTTTCTTTGCCCTAATATTTGAATTGCATCACCCTGAATTATAAAAGGTTGATGTGAGTAGGTGGATGGTTATGCATAACTGTAAATGTTTTAATTATTTGTAAATGTAGGTAAGCACTTACGTATTTGTCCACAGCTAGGTACCATGTCTCATAATTGCATGGCTGTGGCGTCCATGTGCGTAGAATACGTACCTGAAGTGCTGTTCCTGGAGATCCGTAATGCAGTTCTGAAATTGTTGTAAACGTTTCAGACATGTTTGTGCTGTTACATAAAATAAGAAATGTGTATAAGATTTTTTTATTTTTAGTATGTTAAAGTGTTTCAATATGTGAAAGGATTAGAAGATATGAGAGTGAGGAGTAGGTATTATAAGTTAGTTTGAATACGACATAGTTGGCAATGAAATACACCTCAATACTATCAACTGTGCGTAAAAATCTTTAAAAACCATGTTCTTTGTTTTGTTGTGTGATGTGTGAGGATGTGGTTCAATTAAGATTTTGATTGAATCAGGGGACGTGGCACGAGAAAGTGCAACGTAAAGCTGACCGTGAGTAAACACAGGTTGAGGTAAATAAATGCCAATTTTTTTTAGAGATTGACCCTGGCTTTTGTTAATTGTCATGGCGTAACAAACTCTAATCGGATATTGCTTTCTAACGAAAGTGAAGGGTAAATCAGGACTTTTGTGGATAAACTTGATTCGGGGCAGATAGACTCGCTTTCCGATAGAAGTTCCTGTAATAATAGTTGCTTCTATCACCACAGGTAGTAGTTGTGAAACCATCAACCGTGTTCCATTGCACAGCCCCTCCCGTTGGTTTAGATTTCTAATTAACATAATGGGTGTATTAAGTTTTAGTGAAAGTGTGTGTGGAGGTGTGCTCGGAAAGGTAAGCTGATTTAGATATTCTGGAGGGTAGAATCTCTCGAATTCAGCTGTTTGTTTGCCATTTGACTCTCTGGTATCTACGCTTTTGTAAACTGTTGCATCACCAGGAGCAAGATTTAGGATGAAGTCGTTGATATCATGTGTTGTACTGTTTTTTGGACATACAATTGATCTCGCTGACAAAGCAGTGGCTGATGGGTGAGATAGAATACCATCTCCATATACAAATTGTACAAGAGTTTTGATGGCGTTGTTTCCTGTTGGAATCGTGAGTGAAAGTGGTATCTCAATCCATCTTGTGTCTCTTGGTTCAAGCAAATCTGGATCCCCCAAGTTTCCGTCTCCAATATTAAGTAACCATGATGCAAATGATGAAACCGAAAATTCTGAATTGGAGTGAGAAGCATCGTTCATTAACCTCATGTTATGGCGAAGTTTGTAGACTGTGAAACATGGCCATAAGTATGAGTTTGGTAAGGTTAAAGAAATAATTTGCCATCTACTGCTCTTTGGAGAAACAGGTAATGTTTGTCGGAAATCACCACCTAATAGAACTGACATTCCGCCAAACAGTTTTGCATCATCTTCGAGAATATCTATCAAAGAGTGATCAAGGCATTCGAAGCAACGTTTGTCGCTCATCGGGGCTTCATTCCATATGATGATGGATGTTTGTTTCAACAGGGCAGCTAATGAAGTTTTTTTCTTAATGTTACATGTTGACTTTTCTGAAAAATCAATTGGAATATTGAACCTTGAGTGAGCAGTCCTTCCCGATGGCAGAAGTAATGATGCTATACCTGAAGCAGCGACAGCTAGTGCAATTTTGCCTATCGAACGGAAGTAGGATAGCAACGTAGTCCACAAGAACGTCTTACCCGTACCACCGTGCCCGTAAACAAAGAAAAGTAATTGATTTTTGTCCTTGTCAGCTGAAACAACCATGTTGTAAATGTGAAGCTGATCAGGGTTCAATTGAGAGACCATTAGTTCGTGTTGATTATGCAACAACTCTTTGTTGTAGCTGGTTTCTTCTAAAAGCAAGCGGTTCTCAAAAAGGCGCATAGTTTCTTCTGATGGCACAGGTAAATGAAAATCAGAGACAGACCTAGATGGTGTGCAGGATTGAAGAAAATTCTCTAAGTCCATTAAAAGTAATTGCTGTAGATGATCGTCAGTAAGATGGAGCTCAATACCAGAATTATTTTTAGTGACATTATAGAGGAAAACGTCACTCATCTTACGCCATGCAGCTTCCCATAATGCGAGTGGGTTACTGACTTCACAGAACATCAATAGATGACAAAACAAAGAGCGTAGTTGTTTAGGGGTCGCCCATTCTGACGCCTGTGTGAATGCTGTTAACCATTCCTTATCTTCGCCGATCAGACCTAACGCTTCACATGCACTGCGGTAATTCGGGTACAGATGATTAGAAACGGTGCGTAGATCCTCATAAGACTTACAACCCGTTTGATGACAAAGTAGCATGCGAAGGTAAAATAACTCGCCGGCTGATGGATGCACGAAGACAAGTCTGCCGAGTGCACGTGATTCCGTCTGATGCCTCAACTTCCATCCTTTCACTTCCTTGTCCCACAAATACTTAGAGGGGTAGTTTGCATAAGTTAGGTCTAAGCCATTTTTGTCACGTTTGTTACTCTCAAACCATCCAAGAAGCAAACTATTGCCGAAATTTGGATGTCGAACTACATCACGAATTTGACTATCTTCTTTAAAGTAAACAGTTTGCATGTTTGGAAGATGAACTGGCACACCGGTGGATCTCGTTCATGAATATGAAAATTCAGGATACGCCAAGCGGCCTCGTGAGGGCAGATGTATCGACCATTGAGAAAACCTTGGATTTCATCTACAACAATAGGTTGTGAAGAAGTAGTACACTCGTTCGAATGATCATCTTTTTGAATAACAAACTTCACCCGCTCCATACCTTTTGAAACATATTCAAATAAGTATTTTATCATCATGTTCCATCCACAATATTCAACGTTAATATGCGCGTTGAAATGACTGCACAATCGCTTGTTATATGGTACAACATACCCATTATCTATGTCTATATCATTCTGCATTCTATGACGTGTGAAAGAACTCCTTTTATAGTGCGCGTAACCTTGTTTGTCGAAGATGGTGCTATCCAGAAATGGTTTTGGATACCGCTTCTTACAGTTACCATCTTTCATGCACGGAGCTTTCAGGTTTAGTAAACCGCAAGGGCCATGAATCATACAACTTGTGACAGTTTCATATAGTAATGGTTCAGAAACTGGATCTGGAATCTCAGCAGAAATGAAATTATCAACAGAAGAAGGCTCATGTAGCTTGTCTGAGGTGGCAACCCATAGAAGAGTGTGACAATGAGGCAAGCCCCTCTTTTGGAACTCAATTGTATACAAATCTAAAAAAGAAAGAAATACTATCATAAGGAATTTCAATAGAAACAAAGGTAAATGACAGTGGAAAAGATGTATAATGGTGAAAAGAATAACCAAAAGTATGTTACTCACATGCAACATCTCCAAATGTCCTGTCATCTTTTAGAAATTTAATGAATGCTTTGACTTTTATGTGGAAAACACGTGCGATAATATCAGCCCTTCTATGCACATCATTTTGATTATGAGTAACCATGTATCGTCTGATTTCGGGCCAATTAACATTGCAGGTAAAGGTGATAAAGTACTGAGGATTTTCATACTCCTTACAAATGGATAGTGCGTCTTGATAATGACTATACATGTAGCGCGGACCACCTACAAAAGACGGAGGCAAAAGAACCCGCTTTCCAACGGAACGGCTGTCTACATCACCCCTAGAGAGTGCTGTTGGATTAATGTCTAAGTCCATAACTATAATTGGTAAGACTTGACCCGACCCGGCATGGTCCATTTGGGTTGCATGGCATCATGCACTTGGATAGACTATAATGAGAGAAATAACACTTAAGGTTTGTTAATATATTATAAGTTCTAATATATTAATAAGATTATTTAATTAGTATTGATCAAGAATTAATCTAGGATTAATTAAGTGATCAAAAGAAGACTAATTAAATATATGGGTTGATTGTGTAAATCATTCATTCTTATATATGTGGGCTTGTGATCCAAGATTCCTTATGTTGGACTAAGTCCATGGGGTGACCCATGGATACTCCATGGAGGTTAAAATCCATGGAGCATAAGGAATGGGTAAAGTTAGGAGTTACATAGTGTAACCCTAATAGCCACCATATAAAAGAATCTCATGGCTCAAGAAATCGTGCACTAGTGTGTGAATATGAGGGCTACACGATTTGAAGGAGTGGTACATTTCTCTCAAGTCATTCCATGTGCATTTGGTGTTGTGTGAACCATTTGAGGTGTCACACTTGGGGCACTTGGCACTCAAGCTTCATGAAGATAATCTACACCAAAGGTATGTAATTCTAACTTGATATATTCATATGAATCCATGTTCTTATGCTAGTTAGGATGAATACCTTGGAATATTCATATTTGCATGTATAATAGAGAAAACATAGATCCAAGGTATTTAGGGTTGCATGTACACTTAGGAGTGTTAGAATGCTCAAAACCCAACAAGTGCATCATAAAATCCCACTGATATATTCTGATCTAAGTTGATGTTGATTATTCTGAATGTAATCTAAACACCCTTGTTCAAGACACGTATAAAGCATCCACCAAATATTGTTGGAACAGCCGACATCCATTGAGAATAAGAGAGTAAATACCATAACGGGCATGAAGTTGATAACTATAATACATGTTGACTGTTAAATTCCTCGCATTAGCACCTTTTTTGTTCAACAACTTTAAGCGCGGACCACCCATCCTCACCATAAGGGAATAAAAGAGGATATTGCAAGGGCATGTAAGAAGGGTGAAGTTTGCTAATTCGTTGTGGACTTCCGGACTTTGAAAATATAAGAATATCATACTTATTCGTAGCTGTGTCATCACCATAAATGATACACCCAAGGCTACCGGGTGTTGGAGGACCGTAACGTCGATCAGGGACGTTATTAAAAAGACATACCGCGCATGAATCTAAATCCTTCACAACAGCAAGGTCACGGGCAGTTTTAAATGTCCGGACATACTCATTATGAGAACTCAACATGTCCATTAACAAAGCTACAACATGTTCGTCTAAAGGTGGTTTTGAGGGGTCACGAAAAGCAGACAACCTGTTTGACATCTCATTATCTGTATCAACAATGTATAATTGTAGAAACCTGGGACGTTTATCATCTTGAGGATAAAGAGAGCCAATCCGATGTGAGATCTGACCAGAAACTTTAAAAACATAGGGACCACCACCGTTGTTAATATT